AATAGGATCTAACTGTAGAAGGCATTTGTACATAAGACAAACTGAAAGGAGCTGGAACAATAAAGTATAGCAACAGCACGGAAAACCACCACCCCAGCATAGCCATGGGAGGGCATGATTATTGTCTGAATATGTCTGTGTGTTTCTCTGAGCCCCAACAGTTGTACAGAATAGATATTGGGACAGAAAACTGCAGAGTTGAAGGAAACTAGTCAGGATTATTTAAACACTGGTGAACCCTCTAAGCTGAAACCAGATGGAAGCTTCATAAAAAGGGAGTGGATAATCCCAGTTTATACGGATCCATGGTAGGCTCCTTGGTGCCACAAGTGATATTTAAAGAATGCTGATTTCCCAGATGGAGCTTATTAACTTAAAGAAATTAATATCTACTCACACTTAATATTTACGGCTCTTCACAATGTATTTCTCTTTCAGGCCTGATGATCTCTGACTTGTTGCCTACTTGATAGAATAGAATAGAATAGAATAGAATGGAATAACAGAGTTGGAAGGGACCTTGGAGGTCTTTTAGTCCAACCCCTGCTCAGGCAGGAAAGTCCATACCATTTCACACAGATGGTTATCCAATCTCTTCTTAAAAACTTCCAGTGTTGGAACATTTACAACTTCTGGAGGCAAGTGGTTCCACTGATTGTTCTATCAGGACATTTCCTCCTTAGTTCTAGATTGCTTCTCTCCTTGGTTAGTTTCCATCTATTGCTTCTTGCTCTGTCTTCAAGTGCTTTGGAGAATAGGTTGACCCCCTCTTCTTTGTGGCAACCCCTGAGATATTGGAAGACTGCTATCATGTCACACCCAGTCCTTCTTTTCATTGAACTGTGTTATTCTTCTCACCCATCTACTCTCTTTACATTTGTCTTTTTCTTTACAGAGATTTTTTTTTTAAAAAACCCTGCCCTTCTCTGGGTTATTAAAGTTGCCTGTAAATTTACGGTTTTTCCAAACACTCTAAAATTTGGCACCACTACTTTCAGTGCTTGCTTGCTTGTTTGTGGGATTGAGATGTACAGTTGGGTATCATCCACACATTGATAATATTTGAGCCCAAATGATGGATGATTGCACCATGTAGATGCTAAATGGAAGGGGAGAGAATGCTGAATGTTTCAGATTTGATTACTTCCTTCCTGTCAACATTGACCACACCTGACCACAGAGAAAGGCATAGAATCACCCCAACGTTGTGCCTCCCACTCATAATTCCATGGGTCAGAAAGATATTGTTTTTGATGGAACAGAAAGATTTGAGAGATCAAGAAGAACCAAGATATTTATATTACCTCTGTCCCAAAACTCCGAACTCTGATAGTTCTCATCAACGTATTGCTGCATCTGTCCTCTGGAACAGGGGTCTCCAACCTTGGCAGAAAAACTGGCTGGGGGATTCTGGGAGTTGAAGTCCACCAGGCTTAAAGTTGCCTAGGTTGGAGACCCCTGCTCTGGAACATCTTGCCCTCTGAGGTTAGTCTGTTGGAATGGGCAGCTAGAATACATTTAATGAAATGAATAAATAAACCTGACCCTGATGGCCTCTTGCAAAGCACTGAAGATCTGAACGTGCTCCGGGGATTGAGGATTGGTAGGTTAGATTGCCCATGAGATGTTATTACTTGTAATAGGTTGTGGGGACAACCTTGGGAGACAGCAGGAAGAATTGCAGACAACTATCATGTAAAAGATATCTCAGCCCACAAAAGAAAAAGGGCACGGGAAGCTTCTCTGAAGAGACCTTTCCTAATTTTCTGAAAGATAAAACTAAAGGAGGGGAATAATGCTTTGAGGAGTCTTGTCTGTACTACCTCAAAGAGCTGTTGAGTGTTTATTGGATTCGAGGTTTTTTTTATATTTTTTTATATTGTTTCTAAGGTTAGCTGTCCAGAATTGCATCTGTAAGATGGGCAGCCATAGAAATTGATTAAACAAACCAATGGCATGACTGATGCTGTTTGAGAATTATATCCTGGCTTGATGTCTGTCTAAAAGGGGTCTAGATAATCAGATATTATTTTGCAATTCTAATTACCAATGGTAATATGAGCTTTTGCTCATGTTTGGTTAGGTTCCCTCTTTGTCTTTCTCCAACTGTGTTCTAGGTCACTTTCTGGTGTTTCATTTCCTGATCTTCTTCAAAGAGCCAACGAAGAGATCAAAGAGATCATAGTGGGAGGCCATCTTGGAGAAATCTGATCTAAAGCCCTCATCTGCTCATTCCAGTCAGCCAACAAGGCTATAGCTGAACTACCCACCAGATCTTCAGGATAACTTCCAGGTGGCCAGTGAGATGTGAGGTGGGCAAGTGGATTCAGGGGATGGATAATGCTGTCAGAATGTGGGTCAAGAGAGGAAGTGAAGCAAACACATTCAACTAATAGTTAAACATAGCATAGAATGAATAAGCTGGAAGGGACCTTGGAGGTCTTCTAGTCCAGCCTCCTGCTCAAGCAGGAGAACCTATACCATTTTCGATAATTGAGAAGTCTTATTCTGGACTCCATATCTACAATACACTAGTGAAGTGGTATGATTTAACATTATGTACTGTACAAGCAAAAGTTCTATTTGTCAAATCAGAGGGGTTTTTTTTCTATGTATGTATAGAGTCAGTGGAGGTTGTTGAGATCTACATGAGATGAATGAAACTGAAGTTGCGTTCCAGCAAGACTGAGCCTGTTTGTTCGAAGTATTTTATATTTTTTTGATGGTTCCTTGCTAGCTCTGAACAGAGTGACATTATCTTTGAAGTAGTAGATATGTGACAAAGGAGTTCTTCTGGATTCATGGCTATTGCTAGAATAGCAGGTAGAGCAGGGGTGGGTTTCTATCAGTTCTGTCCACCTCTGTAGAACTGGTAGCTCTGAAGAGCAGCAAGACATAGAACCGGTTCTATGTCTGCTGATGTTTTTGCCCACCTGCCCACCGGGGCTCTTACCTGACCTTTATTTCCTGATTTTTTTCAACTTCAGCTGCCATGCGAGGCACAGCTGCAGTTAAAAAAGCAGGAAAAAAAAGGGCTTTTTGAAAGGCTGCTTCTCTGCATGCAGCATGCTGATGACGATTTACAGGCTTGCGCTGGCAGCGAGCAGGGAAGCACATTGTAAACCACCAAACCTCGTAAATGACCAAAGTGGTAGTTAACCCTGCCGGATCCCATCCCTGAGGTAGAGTCTATGGTCAGGGGCCTTCAACCACCTTTGGTTAGTCTAGCAGTATGAGTCCTGTTTAAAGTAGGAGGTCTCAATAGCCTTAACTCATGCCCTTATTGTTTCCTGACTGGATTATGGCAATGTGTGCTCTACTTGCTACTCTAGAAGTCAATTTGGCTACTTCTGCTTGTGCAAAATGTAGCCCCCTGCACATTGGCATGTGAAAGCCAATATTATGGGTATTGCATTGACTGTCAGAATGTTCCTAGGAACAATTCAAACCTACATGGCATGCATCCTGGATACTTGTGGACTGTTTTCCCCAGAGAGAAGCCACCCATCCTGTTCCATTGGCCCACAAGGGCATTCTCAGGTTTTCTTTCCTCTGTGAGATCAAGTAAGGATGGATATGGAAATAAGTTTCTTCCCAGAACTCTTAGGGCCTCCATACCCACTTCATTTCATAAGGATTCAAAAGATCTGGCACTTCCGTAGAGTCATGTGTCACAGGTCATTTTTCCACGTAAAAGCTTTTAATGGATGTCATTTATGTTTTAATTATGTGTGTGTGTGCTTTATTATTTTATTGTATTTATGTAAACCATTTGGAATGTGGGGGACAAGATAGATTTATTTAAAATATTCACATCTCACCTTTTCTCTACATAGAAGCAACAGTGGAATACACATATGTGTATCGGATCTCTTCCTCCAATTTCTCTCACAACTTTGTGAGAGTGACTGTCCTAAAGTCACCCAGACTTGAACCTGAATCTTCCCTGAGGATGGATTTGAACCTGTATCTTCCCAATTCCTTAACCACCTTAACCATTTTTAACCACCGTCAAGCGTTACATATAATTTTTAGATGTAACAATATCATATGAAAAACTAATAGGGTCACTTACTCCTTGTAAGTGACTTTTTAAAAATAAATAAATAAATGCATTTTGGAGTTCTTAAACTAAAACAAGGAGCGGAGTTCAAATACAAGGCAGGGATGCAAAAGTCATTAGGATATGGTAACATTTCCATCTAGATTTTATGATAACCAAGATGAGAAAAATCCAGGAATTTTTAGTGAAGCCAGAGGGGAGGCTTATGTATAATCTAGCAATCACATTTTGATCCGGAAGGATCCGATTCTACCGATTCTGGAGTGGATACCATGCCATCACAACGTGCTTCGTGGATGTAACACACCCCGAAAGCAAAAGCCGTCTTTAACTAGACTTCGGGGGTGGGTGGGTGGGTGAATATCAGACGACCACTCTCCTTCCTAAGTTAGGAGAATTCAAGGTACGGTACGAGATCTTTTTTTTTTTTTTGGCAGAAGATCCCCGACCGATTCGAAATCAAGCATCTGGGGGGTTTCTTCTCTGGTGCGATCTCCCCTTCTGGTTCTCTTTCTAAGAAGAGGAGGATTTTGAGCGTTGGGTGGAGGGAAATGCTCAGGATCCCTCAGGAACCGCCTCTTAGCTGGGCTGGGGAAAAGTGTCCCGTAACCGGAGGAGGCTGCAGAGTTTTTGTCTCGAGCGGCAGCAAGAGGAGGCTGCGAGAGTTTCAGGGAGAACCGCCGCCAAACCAAGCCGAGCCGAGCCGAGCCGGGCCGGGCGAGGCCTTGGCAGGCTCGCAGGCAGCGGTGGCAGCAGCAGCAGCAGCAGCAGCAGTTCTGTCAATCAGGCGGACTTCCCTCCTTGCACGCCCCGCGCTTTCCAGCAAGCCGCCTGCTGGTGTCTCTCTGCTGCCTTCGTCGAGGTTGAGCGCTGGAGAGGAGCGGATGAGCCAGGGCAAGGAGCCGCGGGGCTGAGGTTGCCTGGGTGGTGGGCTAGAGGGCGGTGCCGGCTGCCTTCAATGTGGCCGGAGCCCCCTGGCAGCGAAGTTGAAGGCTGGGGTTGGGCTGAGCTACGCCTGCCATGGCTCCTCTGGCCGGGATCGCCTTGCTTCTTCTCGCCTGCTGGATGCTCCTTTTGGCCCCGGGGGCCCCGCGGAGTCCCGGGGAGAACGGTAAGCGGGCTGCCGGGTTCCCTCGGCTTAAACTGCCCCAACCGGACGGCTGGGATTAACCAGACGCCCCTTCTTCGCCCGCCTCCCCTTGAGGCTGCCTGTCTAACTTCACTCACGAGCGGAGGACTTTTTGCCCGCTAGACTTCTCCGCGCCACGCCGGCTTGCTTGGCTCAAAGGGCCGGGGAGTCCTCCCCGCCGCCACGTGTGGCGTCGTTTTCCGGAGGGTGGGGGTGTCCCTTCTTCGATCCTTGCTGAGCTGGCGGGGGTGCCTTGCAGCTGCAAATCGGGGAGGCTGGCTGGGACCTCGGGTGAACTCGGACGCCCGTCGAAGCGCCGGCCTCCAACAAACCACCTGGCAGGGACGAAGTTTTCCTTCCATCTGTGTTGTTGGAAGGAAGGAAGCGAAGCCAACTTGTAGTGGACGGCTCTTTTCTTTTGGCTTGGCTTGTCTTTTTAAAAACTTTTCCATTGACATCCCCATCCTTCACGTTCGGGAATGATCGAAACTTTGAGCAGTAGGGCTGGTGGCAGAGTTTGAAAGTTGATGCGAGGTGTTTGCCACCCCCCTCCCCCCCCCATATCCTAAAGCAGATGGCTTTCAGAATCCTCATTACTTCAGATGGATTTATTCAGCTGTGGGATGTTTCTAGTCCCTCTTGTTCAGTGGCAGAGGGGGCTGCATCCTAACCCCTGCCCATCCCTAAATACTTGCCATGCCTACCATCGGGGCTTTCTTAATAAAACAACTGGAAAACTAAGGCACAGCGCAACTGCCTTAACATTTTCCTTTCCTTAACCTTGGGGACCAATGAAGTAGATGTCCCGGCCAGTGGTAGCCTTATTCAGCCTGACTCTTATTACTCATGTTTTTTTTTCTCTCTCTCCCTCTCTAGATTCTATTTTGAGAAATCTAGAGGAATACAGGCTGGTCATCCCAACTAGCACAGACTCAAAAGGCAGATTCATCTCCAAAGTCGTGTCGGGAGCATCAAAGAGGCGTTTCCCACGAGACACCAGGGATCTTCCTCAGGATGCTGCAGGCAAGGAAATTTTTTACAATGTCACTGTTTTTGGACAAGAATTCCACTTTAGATTAAGGCCAAATTCCCGGCTGGTGGCTCCTGGAGCAACTGTGGAATGGCAGGAGGATTCAAACATCACCTACACTGAGCCGCTTCATGGGGATTGCCTCTATGTGGGGCATATCACGGACTTGCCTAATGCTTCTGTTGCTATCAGCAATTGTGATGGGCTGGTAAGTCTTTTTCTTCCTTCCTTCCTTCCCTCCTTCCTTCCTTCCTTCCTTCCTTCCTTCCTTCCTTCCTTCCTTCCTTCCTTCCTTCCTTCTCTCTCTCGCTCTTTCTTTCCTTTTTATATTATCCTTTCCTGATGGGGAAAGTTTGCATTTTCAGCATTTAAAATGGACAGCAGCAAATCACACCTAATGTGCTATGTTAATTGTGAAATCAAATAAAGAAATGTTCTCTTACATGATGTCAAGTGTGATGAACCAAGTGAGCCTCTTGGAGAAGCAGATTCACCCTGAACTGGCACAGAACCACTGTGACAAATCACTAATTATCAACATGAAAGTCTCGGTCACCCTCTGGAAGTTTTTCAGCACACTGAAAAATAGTGACCTACATCAAAAACAGTGACCTAATGCTATCATCTGCATGTTTCCTTTCTTCATAGGATCTTAGCCATCTTTTGTTTAGAGCAGCATCTGGAGACCTAGATGGGTTTTTAAAAAAGAGATGATATTCAAAACTAAGTTCCACTGGATTTTCTCTAGTTGCTGGAAATTAAATATGCTCAGAATTTTGGGAGAAATTTTTGAGAACATGTGTCTCACTTATGATGCTCCACTTCTCGTATCTATGCCACCTTCCTTAACTCTGAATGCACTTCCATCACCCCACCACACAGAGGTGAAGGGGAAGATAGGCTCTGTAGTCTAACACTTTGGGAATGAGCTCCAGGGTAAGGAAAGTTCATTCTAATCAGTTTTGGATAATCTGAATGATATAAGGGTCATTGTGATTTTCAGGGTAAATACCTAACAATGTGCTTATTTTAAGAGTTCTTCACCTGAAGATTATCTATCTATCTATCTATCTATCTATCTATCTATCTATCTATCTAT